GATACCCTCCTAGCTGCTCTCATAGTCTCTTCATCCGTTGGTAATATACTTGGACAATTGCGACGATTATGTTCCTTCTGACCGCATCTACTACATTGTTTTTCATATACAATCTCTCCTTGTGAAGGAATGGGTTCATGGGTACCTTGTCGATGTCCTCATTTATTATCCACAAGAGGTGGTTTCATGGTCATATATTCAGCGGGATATTCCCATACCACAGGAGAATTAAGAGGATTTACTACCTCTAAGTATGTAGCTCGATAAATTTGCGTCGTGTAGTATTTTGTCGCCAAAAAATTCGTGTATGTCATTCCAGTCCTCCTGCAAACTGCTATCACATGACCACATGGTAAACCAGACAGTTGTCATTGCCTACAACTACAAGTCTGCTGCAGTAGATCAACAACATCATTCCTATGGCAATCTCTTACTTCAAACATGGTGCTTGTAACATTATGTGTTGTCCATGTTGCACTTTTGTTAATTCTTTCAATCACTTTTTCCTCCGCCCTTGGGTTAAGCTCATGTTCAAGTGAGGCTGCATAATGTATAGCTCATTAAGGTTAAAAACATTTATGCAAAACAAATATGTATTTATTCATATATTTACCTCCAACTCCGCGACGGTCATAATACCATTGCTGCAGTGAGATGTGAAAAAAATCAATCAGCATCGAGATAGGAAGGCGTGGTGCATGCCTTGACAATGCGTTTACGGACTTCGCATTATTGGAAGTCATGATATTGTAACGCATTCCAGCGAAATATGCTCTTGACCACTTCATTTTGTTGGCATTGTCAATTGTTTTTCTTGCACTGATTGGTAGAGCTTGACGAAGTTCGGCTAACTGTTGTTCATAATCTTCCACCATATAAGCTTTGCAGGTCCTCCAAAACATCTTGTCTTTTTTCGCGCTAAATCATAAATTCTTTTCGAGATGTCGACAACAAAGCCCGTGATTCACGTTAAGAAATATAGATCTAATCGCCATGTTGATGGAAGCAACCCGATCAGATATGATGCACAGATTTTCCGGCTCACCGATGCATTCTTTCAACCTGGATAAAAAACCATATCTAGGACTCCCCACTATCTGTCTTGCCTACCCCGTAAGCAATAGGCAAAGTTTGATTGTTTTCGTCCATGCCAACCGCCAAAAACATGGTACCTAAGTAAGGACCTTTTAAATGAGCACCATCTATTATAATCAGGGGTCGTAAGTGATTCACAAATGATCGGATCTGTAAAAAATGAAAAAGAACAAACAAAATGAGTATATAATAAAAATAGTGTATATGTACATATACTTTCAATGAAAATATTCTTATTGCACAATCAATGGCGACAAATAAACACTCAAACCGTGCCAGTTCATCCGTCTCGATCTTCGACACGGTCCCTGGATTAGCCTTTATCCAAATTGTAGCAGTATACTGGGAGTAAGGAAAACGATTCTGCCGGGTCATCTCTTAGGAGGAGAATGGCATAACACTTTGCACGCCAAGCTTGCATATAGCTACCTGAGATTTTGTAGTTGTTCTTCATAATGACGATGATGTCATGGCTCTTGTATACTCTACTTGTGTCATTCATTGCAACTTTCAGTATATGACCTAACACCTTCTTGTTTGCTTGACAGTGATTGGGATGCACTTGCGTTTGTGAACATGTGTGTAAAGTCCTTAAATGTATGAACCTGATACAACGACGTATCGTTAATTACAGTTGCTTTTATTCTCTATTCACAGTTTTCTAATATACATACTGCTTCGAACCTAGATCGCGTGGAGCGGGTGGTTTTCATCTGGTGACCTTCTTCAAGACATTTCAGTCCTAGGGCTAGTTTCAAATCTTCTTTACTCTCGAAAATTTACCCAACTTTCACTTGTTTAGAACGTTGATATTTGGGGGTTGGTTCTTTAGGCTTCACTACAGGGACTGCGTTGGTAATGAGGTAAGCATACCCCAAAATAAATTACAACCCACCAGGGCACTAATATTACCCCTACCAAGACCTTTTTTATCTTCCTCCTCCTTCCCTTCTTTATCTTCTGTATCAGGTTTGCTATCACTACTCTCTGATTGTAGCCCTAAATATTCATTTGTATTGGGATGATACAAACAATCCCCGAGACAGCCCCATAATAAGGATCACGATCAACCTTATATTTCTCAGACACATTTTCAGTGTCATCTAAATTGGCATCATATTCTTTGGCAAAAATTTCAGCAATACGAATGCCATAATCAGATGGTAGATCTTCGTATTGGTACATCAGAAGATTTTCGTATGACTTATATGGAGTTTCATACGTCCCCTGGCTATGAAACAGGTGATACTGAGATTGGTATGTTTCAAGTGGGGTTTGAAACGGTTGATATTGAGTTTGGTACGAATTATATCGAGTGCTAAGAGTTGTCTCATCACTTTGAAACGATTGATATGGAATGAGTAGAAATATGTTTTGGTTGGAATCCGGCTCAGATTGGTTTGACACATATGGAACGAGTGGAAATATATACTGAGGGTGCTCGGGCCCATACACAATGGCTGGAACAATCTCTTGGTTTGAGTTAAATTGATAAATTTCAACACCACGATCGTAAAACATACAATCTTAGGGCTTGTGGTGAGATATCCACACCAATATCCAAAAATTGTCTCATGTCATCGGTGTCAAATAACTCGACAATGGAACCAGTTGACAGAGATTTATATGTCAACTCAAAATGATTTTGAAAATCAGGTAAGTTTAATTTTCTAGCTAAATAATTGATCAAACCTGGTAATGTTAAGTGTATCGGCAACAATACAACAACTTTTTGTGTTTCTGGAATATAATCTACCACGTCGTTGACTAACTGCCACGAACCTCCACCACGTACTCTAACTTTCTCAATCACAGACATTGATCCTTGAGAATTTGCAAAAGATAATTTCTTTTTGTAAACACAGAATTGGTAAGTATATATCGATAAAGTGTAAAAAAAACTCGAATATATATAGTGTTTTCTTTTTGAAGTGTTGGTTTTGTGTTGGTAATATGAAATTTAAATTGTTTATATAGTGGGGTTGAAAAAGAAAAAGACAATTAAATAGTATTGTATTGGGAAGGAGGAAAATAAATAATGCTATATTGAGAATGAGGAGGATAAATAGTGTTTTGTATTGAGAATGAGAAAAAAGAAGAAAAAAAAATTTGGAGCGCGTCCCACCGCCAGTGCCATGGTCAATCCGGGTCAGAACTGGTCAAATCAATTTTTTTTTACGTTTTAGTCCATGTACGCACCAAATGATGCTAATGGTGTTTTCCATTCTAAAAGGTTATTTTGGTCAAGATCCCCACTTAACGGCCTTGGTTTATGTCGATGACCTGGTAGTTAGTGGTAATGGCAGTGTTGCTATTTAACACTATAAAGAATACCTTAATTAGTTCTTGTTTTCATTCAAAAGACCTCGGCAAACTTAAGTATTTTTTGTGACTCAAAGTAGTTCGACACTATACTGGAATTTTCTTATGTCAACGTAAATATGCATTAAACATTATTTCTAAGACTGTTTTACCGGATTCAAAGCCTTTTGGTACACTGACTGAATGTTACCTCCGAACGTTAATTTACGGTTTCTTAACTATTTAATGAAAGAAATTCAAGGTGCGGTTAAAAAGTTTTTTTTGCTATATAATTATTTATGATATTAACCCATATTTTTGATAGGAAAAGAAAAACATTTCCACGTGCATTTTTGGAAGAGTACTAGATTTTGATATTTCCTAAAAAAATGAGATAACTGGATTTATCGTTATACCAAAATAAAATAAAATGATAATAATGTTTATTGATATATGTTGATAAATTTTTAATAAATTAACAACACCCTAATAAATAAGTCAACATACTAACGAACTACAGTTTTATTAATGCTTTTTTTAATAATTAATAATAAATTATAACATTTAAACAAAGTTATTACTTGTGTCTTATAATATTTTTTAATATATGTATGAATCAACACCATAATTTTAAAAGGGAAGAGTGGATTTAATTTAAAACAATATAAAAGATTATATATTTATTTTAAAACCGAAAACGAAACTGTTTTTGTTTGAACTAGTTAGGTACCTGCATCATATAATATGGTTGGATATGATGTTAAACTTTTTATAAATCAAGGATATGGAGTTTATAATCATCACAAAATAAATAGTATCAAGTTATTAAACGATTTTATGCAACTCATAATCACATTTTGGGCATTGTTCTTACCAAGTAAGAATCTGTTCTCCTTATCATATTAATCTGATAAAGTATATGACTTGATAAATACTTGATAAACTGTCAATCATGATTTGATATTACAGATATCGGCTAGTTTGCATGTGATTTTTGTAAATAATATGCCATGCCTATGTGAATCCATGGATAGCCTAATGCTAACCAAGCCAAAGAGATGCACAAAGGAACTAATAGAAGCAAGGAAGGACAACATATGCAATGCTACAAACTAATAAAGAAATCATCTTAAAGTATTGTTTTACATGATTTTTTCGTTTAATGTTAAAATTTAAGATATTGATTCACATATATTTGTTTTATATTATAAATCTTTTTTATTTTGCTTCATAACATGGAAAAAGAGTTTTACTTATATTTATTTTACAAAATTAACGCATAAATATGTATAACAATAATTTAAAGCTTAACTTTCAATAAAATAAAAAATCATGTAACCAAACATAAATATAGATTCTTACAATTTTATAACTCTCATTTAATTATATATATATATGTATGTATATATATATGAATGAGATAGCATTGAAATTGACACCATATGGAGACAGAGTATTTCATCTTCCTCCCACTATGGAGGTGTTCTCGTTTGAATATATATGTATATATATATATATATATATATATATATTTTATAACTCTCATTTAATTATATATATATATATATGTATATATATATGAATGAGATAGCATTGAAATTGACACCATATGGAGACAGAGTATTTCATCTTCCTCCCACTCTCTCCTCTCCCTATTCTATTATTGAAATTGAAATTGAAATGGTGGAGGTTGACGAAGAAGAGCCAACGAGTACCCATGGTAAGATCAACCCAAAACCTTATATTTTCTTAATTTCTTTTAGGTTACATATATATATATATATATATATGTTAAAATAGTAATAAATTAATTTAATAGAACACCCAACATCTTTAGCTCTTGGTGGTCATCTTTTAGCATGAAACAGTAGAATCTGTCATATATATCATGTATATATGACCTGTAACTTATGCAATAAAAGTTGTGGCTTTCAGTATGGATTTGGTCAAGTTGTAGTTCTGGGAATCAATTCACTGTCAAGAAACTCTAACCAAAGCAAGGGTTTGTTTGATAAACCCTCTTTAATTATGTTTTCATTTTGATTAAAACTTAGCACATGCAACAGTGACTTGTTCTCTATGCATTAAAATTTATGTATCATGCACTAAAAATTATACGGATTTATTTCAATTTTGAAAGTTCTCCTTTCTTATTACTATATATATATATATATATATATATGTTAACGTTGAAATCATGCAATAGTTATTTGTACCTCATGCCTCTAAAGTTGTACACTCACCCAAGATCCTGGAAACGTGGACCAACAATGCAACGTCACTTGTACGATATGTAACAGTAGTTGTAACTTGAGCCACAACCAGTTTTTTTAATTATATTTCTTATACGCACAAAACTGATATGCGATTCTCACCATGTGATGAGATTTAAACCTCTTACCTTCAAGAAGATTGGGATCTACAAAAAGGCTATGCACAATCATGACCCTTTTTCCATCAACAAACATGCAATATGAACTTGTACCTTATGCAGTAAAAAGTTGTACACATGAATGAAATGTTAAGCATAATGCAAAATGACTTGTACAACATGTATTAACAGTTGTACTTTTGACATGGGTTTGGCGACCGAGTGACTCTAACACTGTTTTTGCGACCAGATGGAGATAGATCAACAAGTGAAATCCAAGAGGGTGGAACTGGGTCTTCAAGAGTTGTACGGTACAAGTGGTGGATGCAGATGGCAGCATTCACCATATTTGTACTCTCAGGCCAATCAGTAGCAACTATGTTGGGAAGACTCTACTTCAACAATGGAGGAAACAGCAAGTGGATGGCAACACTTGTTCAAACTGCAGGCTTCCCAATAACCTTCCCTTTCATCTTCTTCTTCTCCTCTTCAAAAACAACCCCTAAAACCCACCAAATTACTTCCAGAAAACCTTCTTGGATCGTCATTGCTGCACTTTATATGTTTCTTGGCATATTCTTGGCTGCAGACTGCATGTTGTACACCATTGGACTCAACTTTTTGCCGGTTTCGACCTTCTCGTTGATCTGTGCCAGCCAGCTTGCATTCAACGCATTCTTTTCACACTTTCTTAACCGGCAAAAGATCACTCCTTTGATTACCAATTCGCTTGTTCTACTTAGCTTTTCGTCTACGCTGCTGGTATTCCAGGGTGATTCTGAAGAGACTGCGAAAACGTCTAAAAGCAAGTACATAATTGGTTTCGTGTGCACGGTTGCTGCTTCGGCAGGTATAGTGTTTTTATACCATAGATGGAACCATTGCAATACAATAAAATCAGTTTTATAGGACACAAAAAATGTTTAAAAGTCCTAATAGAATGCTTTTATATGACATAATTAAGTTTACTGAACTAAACAATTATGCGTCCTATGTAAAGGTGTTAAAATAAGTTGAAATGACATTTTTGGACGTCCGAACAAATATTTTAGGAAAATTTTAAATAAAACATCATATTAAAAGCTTTTTCAGGACACTTGTCGAAATTATCTTATAAAAAAGCCAAAAGAACATTTCTTTTTCAAAAGCGTTTTAAAACACTTGTTGGGATGTCCAAAAACATCGTAGCATCCTGTTATAACACTTTTACATATGACGCACAATTGTTTGGTTTTATAAAATATTTTATTAGGAAATTAGAAACATTTGGATTCTATGAAGTTGATTTTGTCCTAGCGTTCTTAGATGTCTGGGATTAAAGTTTACATAATTTAAATGTGCAGGGTTTGGGTTGATGCTTTCTGTAACGCAACTCAGTTTTCAGAAGATTCTGAAATCGGAAACTTACAAGGTAGTATTTGAAATGATCGTGTACCAAAACTTGACAGCAAGTGTCGTAATTCTGGTGGGACTATTTGCTAGTGGCGAATGGAAGAGTATAAAGGGAGAGATGGAGGATTTCAAGTCTGGAAAAGTTCCTTACGTAATGAATCTGGTATGGACGGCCATCTCGTGGCAGGTTTTCTCACTCGGTTGTGTAGGATTGATCTTCAAAGTTTCCTCTCTATTCTCCAATGTGATTAGTACTTTAGGTATCCCGATTGTACCCGTTTTCGCGGTCGTGTTTTTCCACGAAAAGATGAACGGAGTGAAGGTGATTTCTATGTTGTTGGCGATATGGGGGTTTATTTCGTATATTTATCAACACTACCTCGATGACTTGAAGGAAAAAGCCGAGACTAAAACCGAAAATCGAGAAGTTGATCTTACGGAAACAAGAATCAGTCAGTGATGGAAAAAAATCAGTTGTTCCCCCTTTCCTATTCCTTCCATCAACTCTATGAGTTGGTTATATAAATGTAGTCTGGTGCATATATAAATTAAATGGTACAAGGAGAAAAAGAAAAAGGTGTATTTGATCTAGATTTTGTATTAATGATGGGCGTTTTTTTGTCTAAATACCCTTGAGGTATGAATAGCGTTATCTCCTTGTAAATGTTAAGTCAATTGTTCAATTTTCAATTATTGTACTTCTACTTTCTCTCAATATATCAAGGACATGTTGATGACCAATTTGAGTTCTTGATTTTTATCATTTTGAATCTTGTTGTTTACTTGGATTTGGGATTAGCAATTGAAATCAGAGCAAATTACAAAGCTTGATTTGATCCAAAACTCATTCAATTTGGAAGAAATTTGATGTTTTTTGAAGAAAATATATTGTTGAAATGTCGACTCTGTTTTGATATGATTTTGGTGTTGTTTGATTGATTTTTTTGATACACATTGATTCCAATTATATAGTAGATTAATCCTAAGCAATTTCATTGTTTAATTTGAAGAAAATCATCAAGAATATTAAAGATTTGGTTCTAAGTATGTTCTTGATCAATTTGGGTTAATTCGTGTTATTTGATCCAAATTTGTGCTTAGAGTCTTCATATTTTTTAGCACTATAATCAAGGTGTCTCTGGCTTGGACATCACAAACAAGTTCTTTGTAATCGTCATGTAATCCATCAAGAATCTTTTCAATCAGGTCTTCTTCCATTGGAGAACCAAATATGGCTTATTCATCTACACGAGCTTTGATTGAGTGAAGAAATTTGGTGATATTCATGGTGCCTTGTGTCGGATTTTTTAACAGAGTTTTGACCTATTTGATGTGATCACATGTGGATTTGGCATATGTATTGGCTAGGGAAATCCATGCTTCGTGTGAGGTTTTGGCACATGCAACAAATAATATAAGAGGCAATGATAAAGAACGGATGGGAGCATTGAGAATCAATTGATCTTGATGAACTGAAAAGGTGTATGCAGGATTCAGTATGGCTCCATTGTTCGTGTTGGTAGTACTGAATGTTAGGGACAAAGGAGAATACACAATCTTCTTACTTAAATAAACAAACTTTAATTGGAATACCTCAATGTTTACAACAGACACAAACAAATATATATAGGGACCAACCATTGTGACCTTTCACAATCGGTTAATTAACTGCCAAATAAACTACCTTAATAATTACTAGCTAACTGTCATATTACCGGACACATAAACCTAACCCAATTTGGCTTATACTTTAACATACCTCCTTAAGCTAGATTGGTAAGACTCCTAATTCCTACTTCAAGTGATTGAAATTTCCCAGTTGCAGACCCTTTGTAAGAATGTCGGCCACTTGATCCTTAGTACCACAGAAGTTAACTGTTGGTCCCGTAAGGGTCTACAAGATATGTATAACAGTTTGTAGAAGGGGGGATGAATATAAACACAATATTTTCAAATTTAAAATGTATATTGATAAGAAAAGATCAATACAAATTTTACAAGACTGTTTGCGGAAAGATAAGGTAAGAAAAACCTATCTAAACAATCTTTAGTTACACACTAAATCTTAGCAAATAAGAAAAGATTTGTTGTAGAAGAAAGTAAGTTCTTTTACTTAAGCTCAACAATGCTCAAAGTAAGAATTAGGTTAAGAGAGTGTGGTGCGCGCACACTCTACATGGAGAGGAAACACTTCTATTTATACCCATTGCATTAAATGCACATTTAATGCAATATGGTAGGGTTAGAGTGCATGTCAAGCCTTAAGGGGAAGGCTTGTTCTTTGCTACAGTGAATAGTACAAAAAGCCTATTCATGAGCAGACATCATTACCTAAAGTTGGTGGGTAATAGAGTCAACTAGTCGGCTCCGTACCGTACTAACATTATGAAAGGGTATGGGTTTGTCCTTTGTGTGTATAAGGACAAGACAACAACAATCGTGCTTTGCAAGCTTCATTTGATTGCTGGATGATGGAATAACCTAAGGGTCTCTTCAGCATTCGCTGAGGCTTGAGCAGTCTTCACACATATGTAGACAGACTTGTAATCACTGAGTACCGCTTCAGATCACGTACTCGCCAGTCTCTAATCTTCAGTTTCAGTCTTCGACATTGGCTGAAGGTTCTTTGGTGTGAGTGTTGTCTTCTTGAAGTATCGTTGTCGCTGATTGAATTACAATACAAGTTCTTCAGTTATCACTGAACAGGCTCAGTGAAGATCGCTGGAACTGAAAAGACAGAAACATAAATACTTCGTATATAAGTGAAAAGGGATTATCATAAAATCACTGAGAGAGAGGATCAACAATCTCCTCCTATTTGATGATAACAAGACAACATAAAGAAAGTTGTCTTATCAAATAATAGTAACGAAAAGTAACATATAAAGTACATGTCCCTTTTTACTATTTTGGGATTTTTTTAGTAAGTTAGTCTTTGCTTGAGGATTTTTCTCAAGTCATATTTAAGAGAAAATTACAAGGATGAAAACTGAAACTGAAAGCTTATTTACTGACTTATAGATTGTTAGTGAATGTAAAAAGTAACTCTGGAACTCATAGACTTGTGTCCCTATTACTTTTTATAGGGATCTTTTTCAGTGAAGTACAAGAAACACTTATATTATTATCATTGGAAATATTATAAGTAGTTCATTACATGTCTAATACTTATAGACTAGAAGATAAATCACTGAAAGTAGACATAGTAAATAGATTTACAAGGAAAAGTAAACAATATTACAAAGAGAAACTAATCTAGAACACTTAGATCTATGCAGCTAGGTATATCTTCACCAAGGTTCTTTCGACGTAGGCATTCTCTTCGTATCTTCAGGTCCACGACTTTTCCAAGCATGCTATCATCTATCCAGAGTAAAAGGTAAACCAAATGACCCATTGGACATAGATGTAGCTCTGACATTCTCTGAAATCTGACTTCACCTTCATAGTCAAGGAATATAACTCCTAACTCAGGTTTGAAATGCACAGAGTTGGGTGTATAGGGACCCTTATCTGGCAAGTCAAGATTCAACATAGAAATGTCTATACTCTCATGTTCCTTCAGGATTTCATCTAAGGAGAACCTTGTTTCATGTTAGTTCCTTAGGAATGGTCCATCATTACGATTAGAGAGCTTTTTCTTTTTCCTTCCACCTTTCTTTAGAGAAGGCCTGTTGTGATAACTGAATCCTGGTTATCACCCGAGGTAATGAATACGTGATTATATGTTAAATGATTTGGTAATAGCATGATAAATTGGTATATTTGATCATGCCAGTATGTGAAATTTTGTGCATAGGTATTATATGCATAATATAATATATGTGTATGCATGATATATATATATATATATATAT